ATCACATTTCAACTTCTAAGAAGAAATTGACGACTGCCAGCAGGGACAGGGGGCAGCGATACTTTGACCTCCATGGTCGGTCGGTATTTTGTCCTTCAGCTGTTTTATATTTGAACGGCAGAGTTGGACAAATCTCGACACGGATTGACAACAAAGGGGAGGGCACCGTTATTAGCTAAGAACAGCTAACTTCTCCCGACATAACAGCTGCCTCAGCGCTGCATGTGCGGCAATAACATGTCAGCGCCCTTACCTGCCATTGTGCCTGCTGCCCGTAAAGCCACTGCAGCGGTGAGTTAACAAGGCGACACAGGTCATTCACATGTTAGTGAAAAAAGCAGCTGTTATTAGACAATAAAGAGCCTAGTTTGTACCAGCATGTGCGAATAGGTGTTGTTTGTTTTGACAGGTTATATTTCTGCATGGCCTTGGCGACACTGGGTATGTAGAGAGATTTGTTTACGTCTTGTGTGTAATATTGGTGTTCATTAGGACCCAAGACACTTTTGCTTTCACCTTAACTATAACTGTGTCCAAAATGACAGACATGGCTGGGCAGAAGCTTTCGCAGGCATCAGGATACCACATGTGAAATACATTTGTCCACATGCGTAAGTATTTAGAGCAGTTATAACAGGAAAAGCAGGTTTTGGGAAAGTTTCAGAAAGTCCGTAAGCGCTTTAAGTAGACTTGAATGCTGTATTAAAGGCTGTGAAAATGTATAAACCTGTTGACACATGTAGGGCAGTTAGGGCAAGCCATAATGTTACTCTTTTCCACTGATTACAGTCCCATCATGCCTGTTACTTTGAACATGAGGATGAACATGCCTTCTTGGTAAGCCTCGCAGTTAAGGAGCATTTTTCAATTGAGAGTGTGGCTGTTGCATGTCGGATGAGCCTCACATGTATCTGCTCCCTTTCTACAGGTTTGATATCTATGGGCTGAGCCCGAATGCAAATGAAGACGAGGCTGGAATTAAGAGAGCGTCAGAGAACAGTATGTTGAAAGAAGGATTTTGATCCTTTTCAGGCCTTTTCTTTAGTCATATTCAAACATAAGGGGTTTCCTTAATTTCATTTCAGTTAAAGCTTTGATAGACCAAGAAGTGAAGAATGGGATACCTTCACACAGGATTATCCTGGGCGGATTTTCGCAGGTAAGTGTGGGATGTGCAGGAATGATATGTTATATAACCTTGTTTTTTTTTTGTGTGTGATTTACAGGCAGTGTTATGATGGCGCATTACTGCCACTGAAAGTAAAAAAAAAAAAAAAAAAAAAATCACTGGGTGAGGGCTGGTAACATCTTGCGGAAAATTATTTTTCTTTTAAGTTTACTTACATAAGAGAAAATTGAGAGAAAAACTGGTGATTTCATAGGAAGAAAACAGCAGATTTACCAGAGAAATGTGTCAAATTGATGAGAAAAAACGTGGAAAAGTTGTGCATTTAATTTTTTTTGTTTCAAGTACAAGATATTTACAGATTTTTAAAGTTAAGTTGGAAAGAAATTCACAGCCATGAGAAACACTAAAAGAATATGAACAGCACTTCCTTTTCAGTCATATTTATCCAGGCAGACAAAAAGCTACACCCAGTTCTAATAAAATATGTACTCCTTCGACCTGGAGTAACAGCACCAGTCGCTGCGTACAACTTTAATCTTGAAAAAACGCTTGATGCTAGGTGATGTTTTCTTTCAACTGCAAATGTGCAGTGAGGAAGGTGAGTATAATCATACGAACCACGTCTTTGGGTCCGTTAATAGTAAGCACTTATCAAGGAAATATTAAAGCTACTTTTGGTTGCTCCCTCATGCACAAGGTCGCCACATTGGGTCACTCCTTATGTTTGATTTGGCTGATATTTTACACCGGATGCCCTTCCTGATGCAACCCCAAAGGGATTTGTGTCTCCTTTTAGTTGAATGTGTACATAACTAAGCCATGGAGCCATAGTAGGAGGCAGTTATTATATAGTGTATTATTATGCTGTAAGCAGTTAATACAACAGCAGCCATCTAACATAGACTGAAAATAGGTTAAACACATGTACCGTATCTAAAGCTTAATAACTGTTTGTGTAATCTATACAAAAACGAACTAAAAATTGAACAATTTGTTCTTATGCTTATGCGCAGGACTATTTTTTTGCTAATCTGTTTCTTTCATTTGATATCAAACAGCACGATAACTGAAAAGATTAACTTGATTTAAATTATGGATGTATTTTGTGTCCAGGCACATCTTAAATTTAGGCAAGAAAAGCAGAAAAAACAACTAGGCACTGTTTTCATGTACTTTAGGCACTTAAAATACAAATAATTTATTTCCAAATAAATTATTTTAAAAGAACAAAAGAGGACTAGAGCCTTTAATCATGCAAACATACTCATGTTTTGACACTGCTAAATGAGCCTTGTATGTAAATGTGAATTCCCTTTATTTGACTGACAAATGTGTATTAATGAAGAAGTGTATTTGTCATGTTTCCTCTACAACCGCATTCTTTGTATTTGTATCCTCTAACAGTGAGAAAGGCCTGTAGTGTCACAAACGTTCTGACTTAGATGAGTTACTTGTGTTTTCTTGGAGCTGTCATACTTGCACTGGGAGTTGTTTATTCTTTATTTAGTTGGGTATGTGGCCGTTAGCTCCCACCTGTGAATTATCCCATAGATTTAAAAGTCTGTTCAGTCGTTTATCCAATGAAAACTGACACACACTTAGGTTTTGCTATAAAAACTGGACTGTTTAAATCAATCAAGTGTGGATTAATCAAGTGCTGTCCTCAAGCTGAGGTTGTGTTGATGTGTAGTTGTAATCTGTTGGTGTTAGGCTTAGTATCTTTGTGAGAATGATGGTTTTTTTTGTGTGTGGTTTTTTTTTTCCCCCAGGGTGGAGCGTTGTCTCTTTACACGGCTCTGACGACTCAACAGAAACTTGCCGGTGTGGTCGCTCTCAGCTGCTGGCTTCCTCTCCACAAATCCTTCCCTCAGGTAGAAACATTTCTGAGGGTGCAACCTACGCTTTTAGACAGATCCACCTGAAATTTGTAGTTCTTAAAATTTTTGATAATTGACACTTCATAAAGTTGTGAATGCAAGTATTTTCTTTTGGACCGGTTAATAATAAGCACATATATGAGTGGGGTTTTATTTTACTTTGGGTTGATGTCTAATACATTTAGTAAGCACTGTATATATACATGTAATGCTTCAAATTTTTAATTTATTTATTTATTTTTTTAGCAAACTACTCCTTCAATTGGATTACACTACCGGGATATCCCACAGCCAGCTCACATTCACTCATAATCAGATAATAAAAATAATCCTAATCTGTTCTATTCTCAGGCGGCTGCCAACAGTGCTAACAAGGACATGCATGTCCTGCAGTGCCACGGGGATGCCGATCCCCTGGTTCCCTACGCATTCGGCATCCAGACAGCAGAGAAGATGAAAGGTCTCATCAATCCTGCCAACATTACCTTCAAGTCATACCGTGGTCTACCTCACAGCGCGTGTCCAGAGGTGAGGGTGGGAATAAGAAAAAAAAAAGGCACATTTGACCGTGGAGTTCCGTCTGAAATGCTTTTTGCATCTTTTTGTGTATTTACAGGAAATGGTGGATGTCAAGCGATTCATAGAAAAGCAGCTTCCTCCTATCAGCGACGAATGAACACGAGTGTGTCCGCTCACCTGATCAACATCAACAGAGTCCTTTGAGCTTGACTCCCGTGAGACTACACGGACTCGAGGACCACTGACTTACTTAATTAAAAAATAAAAGAAAGGAAAAAAAAAAAGAAACCTGCTGCTACTCATAGATAAGAACGGGGCTGTCAGCCTGCAAGAGGCATGACTGTACTGATGCTGCATACTGACCTGGAGCCACACACAACCCTCAGTGTTACAGTAGAGTAACTAACAGTAGTTGCTTGATTGTGAAGCTACTTTTCATTGAGACGAGCCATTTCTTGCAGGAATTGTATGTATTATAACAACTAGGGCTACATTTCATGGTTTAATACCTACTCTCTCACAATAAATGGCCTGTTGTTAAATGTTTTTCTTTTTCATTAATGTAGCTCTGGTCTGGTGATGAATTATTAATTAAGGCACATCGCCAAGCTAAAAGGTCAAATATTTATTGCTGCCAGCTTCTCAGATTTCTTTTTTCCTCCCTTTAGTGGTCACCACATTGAATCATCTGCCTCCATCTCCCCCTATCCCAGCGTCCTCTGTCACACCAACCCCCTGCATGTCCTCTTTCCCCTCATCCATGAATCTTCTCTGAGGTCTTTTCCTCCTGTCTAGCATATTCAGCATTCTTGGTCAACCATATCCACTATCCTTCCTCTGCACATGACCGAACCATCTCAGCATTGCCTCCTAGACTTTGTCTCCAAACTCCCTCTGATATACTCATTTCTACTCCTGTCCACTCTGGCCACTCCCAGTGAAAATCTTTAGCTCGGCCTCTCGTCTTTTTATCAGAGCCACAATCTCCAAACTATCATAGCACTAGCATATTATAAACCTTCCCTTTGACTCTTATCTCTAGCCATCTTTTACAAATCACCCCTGACTCTGGTCTCCACCCGTTCCACCCAGACTTTACTCTCTTTCACTTCTCTCGTGCACTGTTTATTGCTTTGGATGGTTGATCCCAGGCATTTAAAATCACCCCCCTTCACTTTTCCACCTGCCCCCCTCGCATTTAAACACATGTAGTTTCTCTTCTGCTTTCTTTCATTCCTCTCCTCCTGCATTTGGGTTTACATAATTGTAGATACAATATTAGCACCTGGGATTTCATCAGCCTTCTTACCTGATTAAGTAGGACAGCCAATATGTTGTTGGCTGTCCTAAAGTGTAAGTCGTTTCTGAAAACTGTTCTTAACACACTGCAAAAACTACAGTACTACATGTGCGATACATAATGAGGTGAAAGCATAGACTCTACTGTGAATGTTCATGACACATGACAGGAAACGCAACGTATGATTGTGCTTTATTTATGTGAGAATTCATATAGTTATTTCACACAAATTTTTAAATACACAAATATATCAGTGGTCATGGTCATGTATTCAGTTTGTTTTTCCCTGTTTTGCTTAAATTAAATATAGACTAGTATCACAGTATTGAAACACAAAGACAAGATCTATTTCTGGGTATCAGCTCATCAAGTTGTAAAAACTTTGATCTTTGAGAAGAGCTAAAAGCACCAACGTGTGAAGTCATTGTCGCACCATTCGTTTTAGACCAAAGGTGCTAGTGTAGAAGATCTTATTCCAAGGCACTTTCCTTCTTCTTAATTTTACCGTTAAATAAAAACTACTACTTTCTACAAGAACTGGATATGCATTAAGGCTCACAATATACCTAAATACAAATGCAGTGCTCACAGATACATGCGTTCCCTCATTAAACAAGGTAGAAAAGTGCAATGTCAAGCGTTAGGGAGTATATAAAAATATAGATATGTTTTAGACAAGTAACTGATGCTGAACCGAGCATTTGTTCTTGTTTGCTCCAAAGGTTTTGGTAAGCTAATCGTGGGTAAATAAACAGCAGTTACAGCTGGATAAGTAGTGTTCATTTTCACGTCTGTCTTTCTTTAAATAGCAGGACTCCAACATGAACACGAAACTCCTTCGGGTGGGACGCATGCGCTAGAAAGCATTGTGTGGCAGTGGAGAGTCTATGGCTCAGAGGGAGACTGAGACTCCTCCAGGCTCTTCAGCAGATCTGCGTACGCAGATGAGTTTATAAAGCGGGGGTACGAGTCTCTCTGCATCAGCGTGTAGATCTGCTGCTGAGCATCGTCGAACGTGTGCGAGGTCGGCTCAAGCATATTGCGGTTTATCACTTCTCGGACGCGTGAATCCAGACTGACCTGGAGAGGACGAGGAGACAGAAGAATGTTCAATAGCACGGATGATGGATTTAAAAAAATGCACATATAAAAGGACAAAACAACTTCCACACGAGGATTTTATACTCTGCGTGACACTTTCAGATGCTTGTTTAACTGCTCGTTACTGCAAATGCCTTATTAGCCAATCACACGGCACCAACTCAATACATTTAGGCATGTCAACGTGGTCGAGATGACCTGCTGAAGTTCAAACTGAGCATCAGAACACAATGTGATTTAAGTGAATGTTCCAGTTGGACTGGTCTAAATATTTTAACTGCAGATCTAAAAATGGTAAATGGCCTGTATTTATATAGCGCTTTACTAGTCCCTAAGGACCCCAAAGCGCTTTACATATCCAGTCATCCACCCATTCACACACTGGTGATGGCAAGCTACATTGTAGCCACAGCCACCCTGGGGCACACTGACAGAGGCGAGGCTGCCGGACACTGGCGCCACCGGGCCCTCTGACCACCACCAGTAGGCAACGGGTGAAGTGTCTTGCCCAAGGACACAACGACCGAGACTGTCCGAGCCGGGGCTCGAACCGGCAACCTTCCGATTACAAGGCGAACTCCCAACTCTTGAGCCACGATCGCCCCAATCTACTGAGATTTCTCCACGCAACCATCTCTAGAGTTTAAGCAGAGAGAAAAAGAGGAAATATCCTGTGAGCCTCAGTTCTCTGGGTGAAAAAGCCTTGTTGATGCCAGAGCTCAGAGAACGGTCAGCCTGCTTTAAGCTGGCAAGAAGGCGACAGAAGCTCAAATAACTGCTTGTTATAAGAAAGATATACAGAAGAGTGAATAAACAACATGCTGAATCTTGAAGCAGATGGCCTACACCAGCTGAAGACCACTCCGAGTGATCTGATGTCCGTTAAGAACAGGAAACTGATACTACAGTTCACACAGGCTCACCAAGACTGGACAAAAGAAGATTTAGATTTCTGTTGCCTTCTATCAGCAGTTCAGGCTTCTGGTTTAATAATGTGTGGGATATTTTCATGGCACACTTTCAGTCTCTTAATACCAACTGAGTGTCGTGTAAACACCACAGCCTACCTGGGTATTGATGCTGACCACGCCCATCTCTTCATGACCACAGTGTTCAAATTAGAAACTGGTCTTTTGAACATGGCAATAGATTCCAAGGTGACCAGATCTCAATACAATACAGCAACTGTTTGATGCTGTTGTGTCATTATGTAAAAAATCTCAGAGGAATGATTCCAGCACCTTGTTGAGTCTGTGCTATGATGAATGAAGGCAGTTCTGAAGGCATAAGGGGTCCAGCCTGGTACTAGCAACATGTAACTAATGGAGTAGCCAGTGAGTATATATCAACGAGGCTTCCTGCTACCAGCTTGAAAATGTAAAATTACTGCTTTAACCACTTTTGACTCAAAAATATCTACTTACATGCCTTCTTTTGACATAATCCATAAATTAGTAAGGCGACTTCAACCTGTCAGTTCACATGCCTTTTATATGTTGTTTAGTGGTCTCTAGCTAGTCTTTTTTCCTTTTTTATGACTGTTGGCTGGTTTATGTTACTGGTAGCTACACTTGCTGTTGGTGGGTTATTAACAATACTGTTCTTGCAGCCTGTCATTAACATGATATTTATAATACTCCACTTGTTGTCAGTGCTGTTATACTTTGACACCCTGACTCTATATACACTCTACACCCTAAAACAGCCACTGTGAGACTTTTGGTGAAGTCGATCTTAGAGCTAAAAAAAAGGAACATAAAAGCTGCCTGCAATGCAGCAAAAGCAATCTGCAATATTACACCTCAGGAGTGAGAATGTGTTGATTGTCAGCATTTGAACTGTAGTAAACATATGTGATAATATGGTTGCTACTTGGGACAAAGAAACTGAGCTGATTATTCTTTCATCCAAAATTTATTTACAATAAGCTAATCTGCAGATTATGAAAAATGTTTTGATATTTTAAAAATGATAACTTATCATAACATATCTGAGAAGATCAAGGCTAGAGAACACATTTATGATGTTCTGTTGATAAACTTAGATATGATCATTCTAAGTATTATTTACTCACCTCTTTAGGGGAAAGGATGGAGATGAAGTCCTCATAGATCTGGCGGACTTTCTCCTCCACCACAGTCTTGTTCGTCTCCTTTTTGAGCTCCTCGCAGGCGAGCCAGAACATCATGTTCTCCTCGCTGAACTCTGTTCTCAGGAACTGCCTGAAGCAGCTTCGCCCGGCTGCACTTTTCATCACCCTTTCAAATGACATCGCCCAGGAGCGAGTGTCTTCCAGAGTAGGCTTTGGGCTGGAAAATAAAAGAATAATGGATGCATTGGCATGTCACCGAATTTCCACAGCAATGTCACAGATTCTGTATCGCTGAACTCACCTTTCTTCGCAATTAGTGGTTTTGTCCGTCCTGCTCTCAAACGTGGACCTTTGTATTGTTTCGTCTTCGTTTCTAACAGTCAAACTGAAAGACAAATAACACGGAGAGCTTTGACGTTTTGATCATGAATGTTTTTAAAGCAGTTTGTCACCCGGTTTTCAGTTTTTCACCCTGCAGCTTGAGCTAGACATTCAAAATTGGAAAATCTTCTAATGTGACCATTTGTTATCAAACAGAATAAATACATGTTATAATTCAATGCATGGCAAAATACATGTGGAGGCCCTTAAGGAGACATGAAAACACCTGCTGTTGTTTGAGTTTGTGTCACACTGGGCCTACGATCAGAACTAATGGGATCCGTAGCTACATTAGCCATGCAGTGTGCTGACATTACCATCAGGATTAAAAGTAATGCATTTGTTCCTCAGTCGCTGTGACGTGCATCACGACTGTATTTGTCCTTACAGCCAATAAGAGAACATTTTTAACATTTTGCTTGTGGCTAAACAATTTAGAAATAAGGGCCGACTGCTCATAATTTGTTTGCAGGTGTACCAGCTAGCCTCAAAGCAGACATTGTGTAAATATGTTACATGATGATGCAAGTAGCAACCTCTGGAGCCGAAAACTGCATTTCCTCTAGTGGCCACTTGAGGCTGGCTCCATAATAGAGTCAACACCCACAGACTTCCGTGTTAAAATGCCCAAATTTAGAGCACGTTTATAATATGGTATTTTTTAATATGTAAAACTCATTGTTCAGGATACTGGCATTAGCAGCCTAGCTGTGCAGATTCACAGCTGTCCAAAAGTCAATGCACTGCACTGCGGTTGTACTTTTGTGGAAAATAGATTATCTGACTAATGTCATGATGACTAATGTCACTAATGTCATGTCTGTGAGGTGTAGCCATCCAAGATGTTTGTGCTTCAGCTTTGCTGAGTTAAACTGTAGTATTTTTTTCCTTTTACTTTGGGCTTCAAATCAAATCAAAATGTATTTATATAGCACATTTAAAAACAACAGTTTTGATCAAAATGCTTCACAAATTAGGAAATAAAAATAAGACAAATACAACGCAAGACAACATAGAAACCAACCAAATGATAATCAAACTATCTTACATCAAAGCCAGAGTAAAAAGATGGGTCTTTAAATGAGATTTAAAAGACTGAACAGTCTCAGAAGAGCGAATGGCAATAGGGAGTCTTACAACGTGGGAGAGGTAGCTAGGAAGTGGGTCAAAGGGTAACAGTTAGTTGGTTCAATGGAATATGGCTGTCAAAGACAATAACTTCAGTTTTACTGTCATTCAAGGTTAAAGAGTTTTGAGATAGCCAGGTTCTCACATCATGAAGACAGTTAAACAATGTATGCAATGGATCTGTGACATTCAAACTGCTTATTAGTAGATCCAAACTTTTCACACAACTCTATGCACTATGCAGTCATTGGTTTGACCGCAATCTCCCCTGCATACCAAAAGTATTCTAGAGTCAAATGTGAGGCCATCTGTTGAGCAGCTAAAGCTTGGCCCACGTTTGGTTCATCCAACAGGACAACGATCACAAGCACAGGAGCAACAGGACTCTATGTAGTCCTGTGAAAATCTTCTTTTTCACATATAGCTAGAGCCTTGTAACCAGGCTTGCTAGAACTAGCTGATCACTTAACACTCCACCCTCTTGTCCAGATACAGTTACTTCTGGCTCCCAAAAAGCCACCATGGTGGTGACCAATACACTAACCTTAAGGCCTCAAAATGCACAGGCCAAAAGCAATGTGATGGTTGTGATGGCCACGTTTTTATGGTGTGCGCTCAAGAGCAGTGTTTTTCTTTGTATAACTCCTTTCGATATTACATTATAACTCTGCTAACTCTTTACATTCATAGGGAAAGTGACATACCCCAAATGCATTATATGGACTTTAAAATTTCTCCAGCAGCAAACAATCAAAAACCTCAGGAACCATTGGTTTAATATTATACAGTCTAGCCTCATGACTTCCCTTAAATAAAACTAAGAAGCCAATCCCAAATGGTACACATTAAAAATGGGCTGGTGTCTACATACCCTATATGTAGACACTAGACTGAGATAATATCAAAACCCAGAAATACTTTAAATTTCATGCAATCCTCAGTCAAAAAGTCTATTGCAAACACTGATTTCCTACAGTGTAGTGTAGCAGGAGCACTATGCATTCTATAGTTTCTTCTTCATTTGAAATGAGAGAACATTTACAGCACGTTCAGGCTGATCCACTGGGAACGTTTCTGTAAAAAGTATAGTGTGTCAACTGTCCAGCTCATCCTGTGAGTCTCACCTGTGTGGAATTAAAACCTTCTCTCTGCCTGAAGTAGCAGCTGGCTGTCGGCTAATTGGTTCAGGTGAGAGTCCATTGTGAGCCATCCCACCTGGGAATGTGGTGTTTGAAGCTGTGCAACAATTAAATTAAAGTCATACAGATGTAGAATAAAAAACGTATTACTCATCCCCAGCGGAGTGAATTATCGCGACCACGTTCTGCATACAACAGGTCGGCTGTCCTCAGAGGAAGCAAAAGCAAATAGCTGATAATTCCAAAACAGGTTTAACCCCCCCTGAGGCCTCCATCCGACGAGAGCCGGCGCCGGTCACGGGGCCACTGAGTTTATGTTTTTCTGGGTTGCTGTGTGGATGGTGCTGGTAAATGAATGAGAGGTTGGAGTCAAAAGGGAGGTGCATCTGTTGTTGAGCTGTTACTACAACATACGTCTCATTTTATTCCAGACGGAAACTATTAGATTTTTATTTGATTTAACGTTTTCTGGTTTATGTCTCTGCAAATTAAAAATCATTGTTTGGACAAACCAAGACAGTTGGCGGTGTAAACTTTTGCTCTGGGAACTTGTAATGACCACTTTCTTCATGATTTGCTGTTTGTGGAAGCTTTTTTGGGAGCAGGGACCACTTACAGAGGACAAAATAGTCCTAATAACAAACTGAATATACACCTTCACTACCATTTGTACTCTTATGCTCAGCACTATTTCCATTCTAAAACTTTTCAAGCAAAATACTCCAGACATGTGATGTGATGGCTCAAAATCATATGGGAGTTTCCATAGCTTCAGAGTTAAAAACATTAAGCTCATGCTACTGCACAAAAAGTCCTCTTTTAGAACATCAGGCGTTGGCATCGAGGCTGATGGAAATATGAACACCAAACATTACCATCAGATTTGATCCACCATCTGAATCACATTTGAATGGCAATGGCTTGATTTTTCAGTATTAAAATGATCACAAACACACTCCTAATGCAGTAAAAGCATACCTGGACAAAACAAAAAACACAAAGTGGTTGTCTGTGAGTCATGGATTGGCCTCCCAGTAGCCTGGACCATAACATTACTGAAGCAGGGTGGGGTTTGAATGGCCTTCAAGAAGCCTGGAGAACTATTCTGAAGACTACTTAAAGAAATTACAAGGAAGCTTGTCTAAATAGTTCAGGCTGTGTTGAAGAATAAAGGTGTTCATACCAAATAATAACTGTCAAGCTCATCAAAATTGTACAAACTCAGTTTTTGTCTTATATACTGTGTTTCCATGTATGTTTGCACATATTTCAGTAACACATGCACCCAATTCCCATTTTCCGAGGAAGCTATACAGCCATGAGGGCTGGCTCAAGACTTTGCACAGTACTGTCCCTATCTGTAGATATACCCATTTTAGTAATACAACAATCTTATTGGTTGCAGAGCTCTAGGGATCCTGAATCACATTTCGAGAATCCTGCAGCTCTGTTGGGAAATGAGTTGTGAAAACACTGGATAATTGTAATGACTGGTTGTTTTCATGGGCCACTTACTCAGCAATCAATAAACTCAGTGTTACATCGGTAGATTTTTCTGTTTAATCGATCATAAATGACAAAAATGCTATTATAGTCTGTGAAATCTATGTGATAGCATTGCCAAAAACCGTAAACATTGGCATTGTGAAGTCACAAAACCAGAACACTTTAAGGTTTGGGTGTTTTTTTTCCCCATCAGGTGCTTATCAGCTGAACCTCTCCCTTCTCTCATGCCTCTTGACAGGCTATATGTAACACATTTTGTCATACTCGCCATCTTATTATAGAGCATGAGTGCTTTATTTTGTTTGTCATATTCTTGTTTTTAACTTGAACAGGAAATTCAAGGAAACTGCTGCATATTTTTATTTCTTTTTAAGACCGGTTTCATTTCCTGTGCATATTTCATTGCTTTTAAAAGAACTGTCCTTTTAGTCTTATTGCTATCTATTATGCATTGCTATAGTTGTGTAGTTGTGCTTGCATTCTGTTTTAGTTTTCTAATTGTATTTTTTCTTCTTTAGTTTTACTTAGGTGTAGATAAAATACAACACTGTACATTCTGGCTACGCTTTAGTGCAGTTCACTGGGCAGGGTTGTTCAGCGTTTTTCGAGCGTGGCGCACTCCTTTCTGTGGCAACTAAAGTGATTTAGTTTAAGGCCACTTTGGTGCCTTAAACACGTGTTTTGGAAGTAAAAATAACAATTGGTGATCAGTGGGAGACATGAAAGCAAAACAGAGATACTAAAATTGCTCAAAAACAAGATCCACTTGAGTGGGGCTGTGGCAGAGACATAGAATAATGCGTGGAGACAATGGCACTCAAAGCAGCAGCTCACTCAGGAGCAACAACAGCACCTTGCATTCCTATGCCCAGCCCTACACTAGCTGAAGAAGGCAACTACCCTCCCCTTCACTATCTTCTTTCACTGCATGCAGCCCCCAACCAGCTGCAAACGACACCCTCCCTCCCGAATTGTACGTAGCCACACCATTTGACATCTTGCTCCTTGTACACACGCATGCCATATGCCCGCTGCTTGCTTAAGACCCACAGTCTTATTAGCTGTGAAATTAGCTACAGCTGACACCAATCAGTCCTGCTGGACCAAATTTGAGTGAGTTCAGGATTAATCTCGGCCACACAACAACAGCTAGCAACTCATGCAAAACTCATGAACCCGTGAAATTTAAGGAAATGTAATTAATGAGAGGACTTAAGTCATCAGTGTATAAATCTGTGTGTGGATGTGTGGGATTCAGTGGAGTGTTTCTCCTTACCAGGAACAGCTACAGCAGCAGCACCAGCAGAAGCAGCAGGCATTTGAGGCGTTGGTGGGGGTGTTTCCCATTCTGGTGCGCGCTTGGAGGACACTGGCAGCTGCTTCTTGATGAACCTGCACCTGTGTCTTACGCATCTCCTCCCGCTCTGAGCCCATGGGCTGAAAGCAGAAGACTACAGTGAGAGAGCTGCACGGAAAGCAGGGTGGTGGTGATGGTGGTAGGAGAGGTTTCACTGGAAGATCATTACCGCATTAAGCGGAAGCATCACACGCAAAACATCACAGTCCAAGAAATCGCAAGAGATTAGAGATCTGACAGCCGGCGCGCAGTTCTAAGGAGGATTGAGAGGAGGAAAAAAAGCGACTCAAGCCTAAATGATACGGAAATCTCGTGCTGAAATCCGTGCTTGCTAAATTGAAACTACCTGAGGTGAATAAACGTGTCTTGCGGAATGCGCGAACACTTCACGATCAACTTTTGCACAATGCAACAGCGATCGACATGAAATATATAAATATATGAATGCAAACAGCTCGAGAAGCCAGTGGATTTTTTTAATCAAGGGTTTGCTGGATTATGCTGAATGTAACAAAACCCAATGTGATGAGCAACAACCCCCGCCCCCCTGTCCCCCCCCTCCTCTCTCCCTCATCTCCCCTCTCCGTCTGTGAGGGATGAGCAGTAATGATAGCGACAAGGCGTTACTCCTGGACCGCAGCAATCGCATCCTCGGGAGGATACACGATACAAGGAAAACAGTCTCCCTACAGCAAGCAGCCATTTATAGGAACATAATGCAATCATTATGATCAGAAATACTGATAATTTCGCGTCCACTCACATTATTCTCTCTCCCTTTAGAGGCAAAAAGAAGCAGCAGATCTGCTAATATCTAGGTTCGTTTAATGATCGATGATTTTATTTTAGCACGGATGACAGTGTGCACAAATTGTCTAGAAATTAATTCTAATATTCCTGGTTGCTGGAGGAACATCCAGATAAGAATGCTTCAGCCTCACTGGACCCTGTAACTACCCGCCTTATTTTCCAAAAAAGAAAAGAAGAAGAAGAAGAAAAACTGCACAACCAGTCGTGCTTTCAGTCGTTTTTAAGACGCCCTCTCTGTTATAAAAATATAAATGTGTACTCACTGTGTCACCATGAATGCCAGAATACAGGTGATTTTTGGCTCGATCACGTCCGTCTGCCTCGGCTTGACACAAACCAGTTGGTTTCCTCTATGCGCATGCGTTTCCTGCAAGTGTGAAAAGATTTTTCTGCGTCCATGCATTAACTGCCAGAACACAATGTGCGCTGTCTGTTACAGCAATGGCTTCTTCTTGACAGATGGGGCAGGAAGTCTATTGCGTGGCACAGATAATAAACAGAGATTCTTGTAAATTATTATTCATGGGGGGTTTTGTTTTTGGAGGCAATGAAATGCTGCTGGTATATAATCAATAAAGTTTCTGCGATTGGGTCAATTTCTGTTGAATTGAATTATGAAGAAACGTAATATATTCTTAAATCGTTGCCTGTATCACTCATAATCTGGTTGGTAATGCATTTATTTTACTGGGTGCATTTTTGGATTCTGGAGTCAGTGGTGGCAGATATTAAGACGCTGTAGACGTCACAACCCTGACTAATTTAATCAAACATCTGGAAGATCCAAATCAACATCTGCACCTAGTGTGCTCCCAGTGTGGTCAGCACCACTTGAATCCACCAGAGGGCAGCGGCGCTCTATTTAAAAACGCCGGGGCCTAGCAGCAGACCCCCGGGGGATGCTGAGCCCAATGGAGGGCAAATCAGGAGAAGTAAAATTCGATTAAGTGACTGTTAACTAAACTGAATCTAAATGATAAAAAGCAATCACTGCACTTCTTCAGCCATGACAAGATTCTGCTTTATGTAGAGAGCAGGCTGCATAAACCCATCTGTCCTCATGCTGGGCTGAAGCCAGGATTTTAGATCAGTTTTTATCTCTAAAAATCTCTGGCTTTTATTAACCATTTATTCTACACAGTTCATTTAACCACTCAGTTATTTGTCTTTTCAGAATATGCAATAGGCTTTTGTGCATAAAACTAAAACAGAGTCACATATAATGCTGCAGTTAAGAAAATGCGCTGGAGCTTTTTAGATGAATGCTACTTTTTATTGTGCGTCAATCCATGTAAATCTACGTAATTTAAAATAATTTAAAATCAAACCTATTTTTTTTGAAACTCTGGTGTCAGTCTCCATACTTTTGTTGCAGCTTCTGAGTCGGGTGGTAACACCATGTACTGCAGTGATAGGTGTACATGGTGTCACAGTAACAGATGGGTAAACATAGGTGTATTTCTAAATGACATCACCTCACTAATGCTTAATAGTGTGACTGGATTATAAATTGCTATAGAATATAGAACATCTCAAATCATTTTTTACAGCCCTGTAAAAAGTATTTGACTTTTTTTGCATATTTCTCACATTTAAATATTTCACGTTATCAAACAAATTAGAAAATTAGACAAAAATAACCAGAGTAAATCCAAAATGCAGCTTTTAAAGGATGATTTCATGTATTAAGGATTTTTTTAGTTATCCAAAACCTACATGGCGCCGTGTGAAAAAGTAATTGTCCCCCAAATCTAATAACTGATTGTGCAACGCTCAGCAGCAAATACTGCAATTAAGCCTTTTTGGTAGCTGGCAGCGAGTCTTTCACTTCACTGTGGAGGAATTTTGTCCCAGTCTTCTTTGCAGAATTGTTTGAATTCAGCCACATTGGAGGGTTTTTGAGCATGAACGACCTGTTCTAGGTCACGCCAAAGCATCTCAATCTGGTTTAAGTCTGGACTTTGACTTAATTACACTCTAAAACCTTCCTTTTTACTTTTCGAGCCTTTCAGAGGTGGACTTGGTGGTGTATATTGGATCATTACTTTCCTGCATAACCCAAGTGTGCTTGAGCTTTGGGGCCAAACTGTCATGTTATGCTGTGTTAGTAATAAACAAAGCAAGCCTGGGAATCCAAGGTTTCCAGAAATCATTAAACATATAAATATGGGACTAGGAAACCCCCAGCTTAGAGGGATGACTTGACAAAGGACACATGGAGACTCAGACAAAATACACAGAAGGTAATGAAGGAAGAGAAAACAGGCGCACAGCTGTAGAAAACTAACCAAACACAAGACTGAAAGAACAGAACAGGAACACTAAAGGGAACTAATACATCTGAAGTCATCTATAACACCATTAATAAAGAAGTATAAAATAACACAGAACATGAACATAAATTATTTCTCAAAACTCAAAAGGAATAATGAACTAACAGAAAACGCAAAACCAAGGGCACAGGGGCGGAGCGTGGGGGTGGCTTACGGGGCTTAAGCCCGGGTTGTTTTGTCAGAAGCCCGGGGTATTTTGGAGTGTAATTTTTTCATAGTTAGATGCCTGGCTGACAACTGTATAAAACAAAAAGTACACACAATATTCGAAGCACATAGTGCACACTGTGGGAATTTACGACTGTGCGTGAATCCCCCCCTGATATTGGTATGATCCAAGCTCAGGCACTAAGCGACTGAGCGAGGGGGCGGGGCAGCTGCTGCCCGTGAGTGCGCTGTTGGAGAGACGGAGCCAGCCATACTAAGGAGAGCTTAAGTTTGACCAGGTACCAAAGCAAATCATTCGTACTGTACAAATAATGTAAATATGACGGTGCATCACGAAAGATTGATATGAAACTGATCACTTGACCAATATTACGTTACTTGCTCTTCAAGTGAATCAACAAATGGCAAAATGAAAAGCCGAACAAATGCTATTTTTTTTAGAGTCTTAGCTTACGTGTGTTTATTTCATATTTTCAGTTCTTACCCTCCCCGACTAAATCGGTTTCAGTTATGTACTGAAACATAAGAATGGACATTAGAGGGTTCTTTCAAAGAAAAAACTCAGGTAAATGTTATTTTATATATTATGCTTTGTATGTTTTTCAGTATATTTCTATGCAAAACAAGAGGGATTTCAGTACACAGCAGGATATTCACATTTGTAACCAGATATTTACATACACTTTAGGGAGAAAACATAAAACATTTTTACTGTACAACATCAATTTAGAGTAAATTTTTGTTTTAGATAAATATTGAAATATATTTTGAATTAGTTAAATGTCAGAATAAAGAGAGACAGAGCTATTTTTATCACTTTCATCAAATTTAGGAGTACATGTACACTAAATTTATTGTTAATTAATAAGAAAACTCCAGACGATTCCATTCTGAGCTGAAGAAGCTTCTGATAGGTTAGTAGAGTCCATGTGAGTAAATTGCTGGCACAGCTGTGGATGCATATAAGGCAAAACACAGAGCCTGTTTCTTTGACATGGGAAAATCAAGAGATGTCAACCAAAACACCAGGAACAGAACTGTGGAGCTCCATAAGTGTGGCTCAAGTTTGAATACAATTTGGTGCCATTTGCAATTAAGAAATACAGACAGTTTCTCTCTTTACTCTTAAAGTTAACAAATATGTTTTTATATTTATCAATCTAAAAAAATAAACATTTAGTCTGATTTGATGTTACAATTAAAAAAGTGTTTTTATCTGAAGAGTAAATATCTGGTTTCAACTGTATATTTGATGATTGTCAGCACAAAGAGGGAGAGAGAGGAGAACGAGGACAGAACAGATGAACAAGAGCAGGTGAGACACACATGTTAGTCAAATGGTTGTTTACCAAAAGTATCACCGTATCATAGGTCCTCATGTATCTCGTACCTAGTGTTTCTTTTTAGGTTTGTTATTTTTCAAATTCTGTATTTATTAAGTTCTGCAGGCTTGTTTGCACAACAAGGCTGAATAATTATATAAACTTTTCTCAATCTAAATAGTGGACTTTGGTAGAATTAAAAAAATAAGTGTAGTGCAGGTCTATGATGATTTTTAGTGCTATCATCTAGTTCTGATTCTGGTTCTGTCTTGGTTAAGTCCTCAGTAGTGCTGATTTTGAACTGTTGTAGTCCTGTTTTTAATTCTGGATCAGTTCTGGGTCTGGTTGAATTGGGGTTTAGTCCTCGTGTCTTGATGCAGCCCTGACCTTGTTCTGCCTTGCTGCTTAATTAAAAAACTAGTTTAAGGTGTCCTGCACATGTGATATATATTTTTCCCTATATGAAGTCATTCTTTTTTGAACAGAGCCTATTAATCTTTCAGTCATTTCTACACCCCCCCCCCAAAAAAAAAAAAAAATCCCACATGCATACTACTCTTTGGGCTAAGCCCCGGGTGTTTCAAATGTCTGGCTCCGCCTCTGCAAGGGCATGAGACCCAGGGACCGTGACACACAATGATGGCTGGACTTTTGCCTTCAGGTAGAGCTTCTATTAGAGAGCAAAATTCATGGTTCCATTAATTACAACAAATCACCCATGTCCTGAAGCAGCCCCAGACCACCACACCACCACCACCATGTCTGACGTCTTGGTACGGTTTTATGTGTACATAGAAAATATGCAGGAAGAAATCAGGACTGTAAATGTATGTTATTTATCAGTAGTTTTAGCAAATAGAGACATTCATTCTAGTCTTTCTTAACACAACTGTCACATTTATCCAGGGTCTGGACCAACTCCAGTAGTATGCTGGCTCATGACCATTTCAGCTTGGGGTTGTGTCTTCTTTTGCTTTTGAACCAGGGATCTATTGCATGTAGAGCAAACATGCAATTAACTATTTTGGAGCTAAAGCTTCACAGGTAAATACAAACTTCAGAAATAGCATTTCCTGCCACATTTATCATCTCATGGTGACCATTTGTATGAATATTGCCCTCAAGTTGTGAACCATTGGGTGAAATGACCAAACTGCATACAGTTAAAATCAGCTCCAACTCCTACAGCAAAAATGAAGCCAAACCACAAGTGCAAAAAAAATGCTGTCCCTGAATGGCCACTTGAAGCTGGCAGTCAATTTCCATAGACTGCCATGTTAAAATACCTGACTGTAAATGAGAGTCAACCATGTTTATGCCCTGGTACATGCAAAGGGGAGGAAAACTAATCACACTGAATATGCTTATTTTTTCACTGTGCAGCACATTTTGTGAAATGAGATTATGCACTTCAGCTGAACTGGCATATGCAGCTGTGGAAATATGCTAGCTGCTTGGCTGGCAGCAGAGGGGGAATGCCCATGCCTTTCCACTTTGTATGTGTGACGCAGCTATAAAACATATTCAACACACACAGAGTCTCTCGCCCTAAGGTTCGCAATAAATCAAACATCTCGTCGC